TGCCAATCATTAGGCTATTAAGTAAAGATCATGTTCCATGAAGATATTTTGTAAATTTCCTACCGTAAATATATTAAAACTTCATTTTTGATTAGTAATATGCATTGCTAAGAACTTCATTTGAACAACTTTAAAGGTGATTTTCTCAATATTTAGATTTTTTTGCACCCTCAGATTCCAGATTTTCAAATAGTTGTATCTCAGCCAAATATTGTCCTATCCTAACAAACCATACATCAATGGAAAGCTTATTTATTCATGGTGTATAAATCTCAATTTTAAAAAAATGGACCCTTATGACTGGTTTTGTGGTCCAGGGTCACATATAAAAACTGCGCTTTAAGGAAGCACCCTGCTTTAATGAAACTGTTTCTTGAAGACACACAGTTGGAGTAATGCTGTGAGTGTGTAAAGTGTGTTTGATGTGATCTGTCAGGAGCGTGAGAGGAGATCGCCTCCGTTTACCCTTCAAATCCATCCTTTCTCTGAGGGAGTGAGCGCGCTGCAGATCTACTGTATAAAGGAGGGCGTGAAGGTAAATATCAAGACATAATCTGGCACATGCTTTCAGTAACAGTGAGAACTCGTGACACAGATCTGCTGTCATCTGCTCTCAACAGGACGTGTGTATACCAGACCTCATCAAGCTGCTGGATATACTCGGGGATAACGGGGTACGTCACAGACATCTGTAATAATCTAGTCATGTGATTTCGTGCTGTAGTGTTTAATGCTAATAATGCAAACCTGAGACTCAATGCACAGTGTGTATTTATGCTTTTACGCAGAACCTGAGGAATGAGGAGCAGGTGGCCATTATTCAAGCCAGTACCGTGCTGTCGCTCGCTGAGAAGGTACGTGGCTGCCTCAAGTTATATACTGTACAAGATATTACAGTGCCCTCCACTAATATTGGCACCCTTGGTTAATATGAGCAAAGGCGGCTGTGAAAAAAATGTACAAAAATTCTAACCTTTCATTGAAGTAAAATTCTAAAAGGTTAGAATTTTGTGCATTTTTTTGAATGAAAGATCAAAAGGAGAAACAATGCAGATTTATTTTCACAGCCGCTCATATTTACCAAGGGTGCCAATATTAGTAGAGGGCACTGTATAAGATATGCATTATTTTAAAGAGGCCCAAAAAGTGTTTTGAATAATGGTTGGCATGTCTGAATCATTACTAGTGTTGTAGTACTCAAGACATATTAGTACATTTTTTTATTGTATTTTGTTGTGTTCATATGTACAGACGGGTGACAAATGTATCAAATATGATACAACATGCATTTTAGGAAAGTTTATTTGTTCATTGCATTATATGTTTTGCCCCCCACATTAAAAGCTGTAGCTGTCATAATATATTCTAATATAGCTGTCATAATATATCATCTTAGTTAGACAAATTATTGGGAGATAAAGAGTGAAAACTGATATTAATATGCATTTTATGTAAATAGTATGTTATACTTTTATTTTTTTAAAATGTCATTGATTTACATCGTTTTTTTAAGGTCTCAGCCTGGTCTCATTATCGATTGCATTTGTACTCGGGCATGTCTCTGTCTGAATTTTATTTCAAGACCAGTCAAGACCACAACTGTGGGGATATCACTAAATTGCCAATGCATTGCAAATGAATAATGACTATTTACTAATGTCTTTTATAGAAGAATTGAATTTATTTTGCATCGTTGAATCACAATTTTCTTGTCAAACACTCTAAAGCTGATTTGAAACAATCTGTATTCAAATGCAATCAGTAACTTATTTCTTTTGATACTGTTGTGCCGGGTCAGGAATTAAGGGGGGATTGTATAAAAAATGTGACCAAAATTAATACAATTGCCCAAAAAAATTCAAGATATTGGTACAAAAAAGTACTTTTCATGAGATCTTGTTTTTATGTTATAACATTTGATATAATTAAGCAATATCATCAGAGCAAGAGTTAGGTTTTCATGAAAATAAGCTTGAATGCAAACATGATTTATCTCAGGCTCGATAAACAAGAAGTTAATATTAAGTGACTTACATTTTAGACAGTTTAAACCGTTTAAGCACAAGTTTTTGCTGTTTCACCAATGGCAATAGTTCTAAACAAATCCATAGCAGATTGTTTCCAAGCAACACGCATCAGTGTTTTATTATTGAATGAATCAACTGTTTCAAACGAATCTGTTGAAAAAATGATTGCATGACTCTCTCATTAAGTGATTTGCGGTTTTAGTTTCGTTTTGAGTGTATTATTTATTTCTATATTCAAAAGTTTACATTTAAAACATGAATCTCATGGCATTATCTCTGTAGTTGTATACATAGTATAATTTATTAAGGTAGTGTTTGGTCAGAATGGATCTTTCAGATGAATTTGGAGAGTGCTTTCTGGTTTTCGTCTCGCCCTGCCTCGGTCTTGTCTTAGTCTTAACAGATTCTGGTCTTGGTCTTGTCTTGGTCTCGACAGATCTTGGTCTTGGTCTTGACTAGGTCTCGACAGATTCTGGTCTTGGTCTTGTCTTGGTCTCGACAGATTCTGGTCTTGGTCTTGTCTTGGTCTCGACATATTCTGGCCTTGGTCTTGTCTTGGTCTCGACAGATTCTGGTCTTAATCTTGTCTTGGTCTCAACAGATTCTGGTCTTGGTCTTGTCTTGGTCTCAACAGATTCTGGTCTTGGTCTCGACAGATTCTGGCCTAGTTTAGGTGGTCTCTTGACTGCAACACTAGTCATTACTTTAGAAGTGTCACAGTACTAATATATACTATATTTACTTCACACGCTTTTCTCATTCTGTTAGTGAAGGAGCGTAATGATTATTTGCGATGTAGACAGATGTTTGTCAGTAACCAGCATGTGTGTTGTGATTTAGTGGATCCAGCAGATTGAAGGCACAGAAGCAGCTCTGCATCAGAAGATGATGGACCTGGAGCTCGAGATGGTACAAACTACAAGCCCTATCTTTACACATTATTTGTACACTACCCGACACATTTTAGAATAATTTTGTGTTTATTTAATTACAACAAAGCTTTAAAGAAAGCACTTTTTCAAAAATGCATTTGCCAGACACTTGTCACCTGCTTTTCCTAGAAATCTTTTGTAACAATGTCCACTTCCGTTCAAAAGTTTTTTGTTTTTTTTATTGAAATAAATTAATACTTTTATTCAGCAAGGATTGATAAAAAGTAATAGAAAAGACATCTTACTGATCCCAAACTTCTGAACTGCAGTGTAAGTAAACAATTAAACACAAAATACTGATTTGAATTCCTAGCAGGCAGCTTTGAGCCAAGACCAACAAACAAGTTCAAACAAAACAGACATTTAAGGGATAATGTACAGTCTTGTTATGTACAGGCACATAAATTTAAGACAGGGCCATAAAATATATAGATCTGAGAAGAAATCATATATCTTACCTGTTTATTATCTTATAATCCATTACAGCGTACAGAACAATCATTCTGGCAACAAGACAAACACTTTAACAAGGCCTACTATTAATACTAAAGTCCTCCGGTTTGATTTTAAATGCAGTCATAAACAGATTGAAATGAGAGAGAGCATTGTCTGATGTCTAGATGTCATCTACAACATGACTGGTGATTTGCAGGAGATGTTCTGCAAACAGAAGGGTTATCTGGAGGAGGAGCTGGACTATAGGAAGCAGGCGCTGGATCAGGCCTATATGGTAAAAAACCTCTCCATTTGAACATTTCTGCTTTTTATGAACTTCAGCTGAGAAATTACTGTGATGTTCTTTTTTAGAATATGTTCTGTTATTTTGCTTTTTTTTTTTTTTGAGCCAAAGTAGTAAGATCTTCTAATGGTGTAGTGTTTCTACTGCTTTTGTTTTACTTTTTAATTTGGTAGTCCACTGGATTTTCATTACAGAGGCAAGACTAGTTTGTCTTTTTGAACTTCACATGAACCAGTTCATTTTTAAACAGTACACTGCAAAAAAGCTTTTCTTACTTAGATTGTTTGTCTTGTTTCCAGCCTTAAATCAAGAAGGATTTTCTTGACAAGTAAAAATTATTGTCTTGTTTTCAGAAAAAAACAAGTCAAATTAGTCAAAATTAAGTAAGTTTTTGCTTGAAACAAGAAAAATAATCTGCCAATGGGGTAAACAAAATAATCTTGTTTTCTGTTTGAAATAACATTATTTTGCTTACCCTATTGGCAGATTATTTTGCTTGTTTCAAGCAAAAACGTACTTGATTTTGACTTGTTTTTCTGAAAACAAGACAATAATTTTTACTTGTCAAGAAAATCCTTCTCGAGTTAAGAATTTTTAGATAATTTGGCTGGAAACAAGACAAAAAATCTAAGTAAGAAAAGCATTTTTTGCAGTGTAGGCATCAATTTGCTCTTCGATTTTCATGTGCTTCCAAAAGTATTTTGGCAATAAATTTTCTCTAAACCATGAACCGGACTAACAATTTGATTTGAAAGAAAAATGTGTGTGTGTGTGTATGTGTGTGTGTGTGTGTGTGTGTGTGTGACAGCAAATCCAGGAGCTGGAGGCGACCCTGTACAACGCACTGCAGCAGGATAAAGTCATCAAGTACGGAGAACCCCTGGACGAGCTGCAGAAGGATGAGTTACGCGCGGCTGTGGAGAAACTGCGCAGACAGATGCTACGTAAGAGCCGAGAATTTGACTGTCAGGTGCTGCAGGAGAGGATGGAGCTGCTCCATCAGGCCCATCAGGTGCTGCTCACATCATACTTTTATGCATGTAGTATGTGTTTCATGTAACCAAACATAAAACATAAGATAAAGTAATAAAAGAGAAGAGACTTTGTCGTTTATATTTCATATTCCCAAGGAGACATGCCCGAGAAGGCATCCTCATGATGGAAGAATTTTAAAAGTCATATTATTATTTAGATTTTTTATTTAATGTTAAGATGGGCAATGTTGGGGAAAGTTACTTTTAAAAGTAATGCATTACAATATTGAGTTACTCTCTAAAAAGGTAACTAATTACGTTACATTTTATGGAAAGTAATGCATTGTTACTCTTGCTTTACTTTTTCTCATCTGGGCTGAGCTTGCTTATTTGTTTTTAATATAAAAAAATTAAATTTCTCTCAACATGGGAAATCAAAGTTTTCAAAACAAACTTATGTGTTACTTTACTATTTACTTGGAAAAAGTAATCTGGTTATGTAACTCGCATTACTTGTAATGTGTTTCCTCAAACACTGAAGCACGTGACAAATGGCTTGGCTCAAATATGATACTACATGCTTTTGAGGAACATTTATTTGTTCATCTCTCAATCATCATCGTATTTCATCACATTATATATTTTGCCCCCACATTAAAAGCTATAGATGTTAAAATTAAACATTATGTATCATCTTACAGAAGAAGATAAGAAGATAAAGAGTGATACTGATAAAACTGATATTTATATACATTTTATGTAAATGGTGTTATATTTTTATATATATATATATATATATATATAAGTAAATAATATATACCTGTATATCAGTATTTCATCTTACTTTTGGCTGTATAAATTAAAATATCTGCACCAAATTGCATATTTTTGCTCCGTTTGCGCCTCTGAATTGTTACAGTTAACTAAAACTAAAACCATAAAAACCTTACTTGGAATAAAAATAAATGTTAACTAATAAAAAAAATTAAAATAATAATAATAAAAGTGACTAAAACTTTAACCTGAAATAAGAAAATATAAAAATAAAATCTAATAAAAAATATGAACAAAAATTATAATAAAATAACAATGCTCTGAATAAATTAAAATGTTTTTTCCTTCTGGAGTTTGAGCTCGATATCTCACTGTCATACAATGAGCCAAAAAAGCCTGATGTGTCAAATATGATATAACATAAAACACATACTATTTAAATGTCACATTTCTATGCTATTTACTGTATGTTAATCTTCTGGGGATTTAACTGGTGGTCTTAGACTGTATTTATAAATGAGATTTTATATTAATAAGCGCTGTAATTGTACTGTACCGTAATCAATGATTTCAAACCTGTTTGCAGCAATGACATAATAAACAATCTGTGACGTGTGTTTCTCTCAACGCAGAGGATCAGAGACCTGGAGGACAAGACTGACATTCAGAGGAGACAGATTAAAGATCTAGAGGAGAAGGTAAGACCGATTATATCTCAGTTGCTGTCGGCCAGATGATTGAAATCTCTACTGAAAATGTTTCCTTAATGTCTTCCATTTTTTGTTCTGATATGGATGTTGAGCATTTTCCTATGTGCTGGCTGTGACCATAATTAATACATTTCTCGAATCTTTCTTTCTTTCAGTTTTTATTTCTCTTTTTATTCTTCTCTCTTGCCTTCATTCTTTGGCCTTGATGTCCGTGACATCTCCTGCGGAGGTGAGTGAAGGATCTTTTCTGCTTCCTTCTATACGTTCTAATCTCGTGTTGAAAAGCGTTTTGAGGAAAATGTCATAATCTATTCCGAAAGGTACGGTTTAGAGCTTGACTTAGACTAAACTATTGTTTTAGGGGTTTATGAGTCACTACATGATGATAATGTGATTATAGTGATGAGTACATAATAGCACATACAAGCTTTACATGAATCATGACATTTATTGTGTTATTGAAAGAGAACTCCCCCTCAGGCCATCCAAGATTAGGATGAGTTTGTTTCTTCATCAGAGATTTGGAGAAATGTAGCATTGCATCAGTGTCTCAGCAATGGATGCTCTGCAGTGAATGGGTGCCGTCAGAATGAGAGTCTGATAAAAACATCACAATAATCCACAGCACTCCAGTCCATCAGTTAACATCTGGAGAAGACAAATCTGCGTGTTTGTAAGAAACAAATCCATTATTAAGATGTTTAAACGGTCGCTTCCAGCTAAATTACGAGTCCATAATCCAAAATAATGCTTCCTCCAGTAAAAAAAAGTGCATCTGCTGTTGTCTCTCTCATCAAAATCCAGCCACATATTTGTTTAGAGCTGTTTAAACGCTGCTTGATCTGTGCAGATTTCTCTCCTGATTCAGACCAGAACACTTTTTCACTGGAGGAAGCATTATTATGAACTCGTATTTTAACTGGAAGCAATGGTTTAAAGTTAAAAATGCCTTGATGGATTTGTTTCTTACAAACACGCAGTTTTTGGCTTCACAAGACATTAACTGATGGATGAGTGGTGTGGATTATTGTGATGTTTTTATCAGCTGTTTGGACCCTCATTCTGACGGCACCCATTCACTGCAGAGCATCCATTGCTTTGCAAGTGCTCCAAATGTTCCCATGAAAATACAAACTGGTCTGAGGGTGAGTACATCTGCAGCAAATTCTCATTTTTGTGTGAACTATTCCTTTAAGATCTGTTCTTTAAAAATGCACATCTGATCTCAGGCTTTGTCTCTTTTGTCATACACAGGATTCGAAGCAACCTGGAGCTGTCGCATGCAACTGCAGTCGTCCGGTTGTAATGACTCGAGGTGTATTAATGGCTGTTTTGTTTTGCTTGTGTGGAAGTGGGGAAATTCAGAGTTAGTGATTATGGACTTCATTGGATTCAAGCTCTGTGGAGGACCGGGACAGAACGCTTGAAATCACACTTACAGATCAATACAAGTGTGACAAAACATAATCATCAACCCAACTAGAGGATTATAAATTATCTCTGCCATGCAGGGACCCGCCATGACCACGTCTTTACTGCATCTACTGCGACTGCTACCAACCAGAACTCACAGACCTCTTTCTTTCTCACTCTGTCTGTCTCTCCTACCACACACACTTTGGGAAATTCGAAGCGAAATGGACGTCTTTGCAGACACACATCGTCTCACAGGAGCTATGGGTGCTGACTCAGGGCCTGTTAGTGAGGTGACTGTCACATCTCTGTTATCAGGACCCCTTAGGAGAGGCGTCTTCCTCACTGCCTGAACACAGAAAGGACAAAGAGACAGATTGAGAGAGAAAGCGAGACAATCCACTACAAACCATCCACACTAGCAGTTTTTGTTTACCCTTAGAAAGCTGAGTAGACTACTGCAACCTGAAAACTAATTCTGAGCAGCCTGGTTTTTAATATATATATTTTTTAATTATTCCTCGTATTGGGCCTCATTCCTCCATCACAAGCACAATTTTTATGTAAATCAATGCAAAAGGTTAAACTATTTGCATGATGTGACAGTTTATGCAACTAAAACCATTTTTTTTACCTGACACGTGCTACAGTTTACGAAAGTCGCGATAAAACGGAAGTAGCGACAGATATTTTCTTCTGTATTGTGACGTACGTCTGAGTGTAACAGATTATAGAAAATAAAAAATGTACTTGGTTTTATACATCCGTTGTTGATTGGATTTTGGCATGAGGGCATTGCACTCGAATAAATGAGAATACAATAGATTTGTAAAAAATGAACGGGGTTTAAACTGACTATATGATTGGAGAATTTCTGTATACATTACCAAAGACAGGTTTGATGATTGACCAGAAGATCCTACTACAACATTTTAATTAAAAATTGCAATGTAAAAAACAAAACAAAACAAAAAAATTAGAACATACATATGGAAGCTTGTTTCCGCCAATGAATAAAAAAAGGTTATTGCGACTTTTAATCTCACAATTCTGACTTTTTTCTCGCAATTGCGTGGTATAAACTTGCAATTCTAACTTTTTTTCTCAGAATTTTCTCGCTATAGCGAGAAAAAATCAGAAAGTCATAAACTCAGAATTGAGAGAAAAAAGTCAGAATTGTACGTTTATATCTCACAATTCTGACTTCATAACATGGAATTGTGAGTTATACGAATTATAATATAATACAAGTCAGAATTGATAAACTCACAATTGTAAGAAACAATTTTTTTCCCGCAGGACTTCGTAACTCGCAGTTGCGAGTTTATATCACAATTCTGAGAAAATAAGTCACAATTGCAAGTTTATCTTGCAATTCTGACTTTTTTGCTGCAATTCTATTTTTTTACGCAATTCTGACTTTATGTCTCACAATTGCATGTTTATATTACGCAATTCTGAGAAGGTCAGAATTTTGAGATTAAAAAGTGGCAACTACTTTTTTTAAAAATTTTTTTATTTAATTGGTCTAAACTTGCTTCCATACATGCATGAATGAATCACGATAAGATAAATAACGTGCATTTGGAAAATAAATGGAGTGAATTTTTATTGCTTAAACTGTTCTTATTTAAACTATTGTACCACATGACAGTTTAAAATTTAGTTTTGCATAAACTGTCGCACCATGCGCATTTATGCAAGTAAAAGCATTCACATGCAACAGTTTATGAAAGTTAAACTGTTCTTGTGTAAATTGTTGTACCACGTATCATATGCAACAGAACATTTTTATTCTTAAATGTTGCACCGTGTGAGAGTTTATGCGGATGAAACCATTCTTTAGTAAACAGTCACATCACGGAAGAGTTTCACAAGTAAAACTATTCTTCTTGAAACTGTCACTTAAAGGCCCTACATAAGAACGGTTTTACAGATAATTTCCACAATTCTGCTTGTGGTTCACGAATGAGGCCCGTTGTCCAATAATATTCCCTGTCTATGATGAGCAGCAGTACCTCTTTCTGACTGCAGTGTAATATATATGTTTGTTGATATGTACATGTGTCTCTATTTCCTCTGATGTGAATACACTTCTCTTCCTGCAGCTTGAGCAGTAGTCACTTTGCAGTTTAGAATTTATTCATGACTATAAATTGCGGCGTGTATTGTGGTGACGGCTGCAGATGAAATTTTTCCTCCTTCCTCGACTGTCCCTGTATTTACTCATCTCTTCCCTGAGCCTCGTTCTTTTCTACTCTTTCAAATGAACAGCTGTAGCATACCAGCAGGACTTCCACTAACTGGTTTGTACTGAATGATCTTTCTAACTCCCTTTAATTGGCTGTGTCTCTGGCTTGTAAATATGTTTTTGGGGCATTCTGTATACCAGGTTTGGCTTCATTTCATTAAAGTCTAAATACCTCCTCAGAAATACGATAATCTTTCTTTTTTTCCACCTTTGGACATGCTAAGAACCAGTGCTGGGAAATTTACTTTTAAAAGTAATGCATTGAAATAATGCGTTACTCCATAAGAAAGTAACTAATTGCGTTACTTTTTATGAAAAGCATTACGTTACTTTTGCGTTACTTTTCGCACGTCACTCCCAGTTTCTCTCAACACAGGACAGGAAAGCTGTCAGTCAGTCAATGGGAAAACAAAGTAACTGGCGTTACTTATTTGAAAAAGTAACTCAGATATTTTCTTGTAATTTTAAAAGTAATGCATTACATTACTAGTTACTTGAAAAAGTAATCTGATTACATAACTCGCATTACTTGTAATGCATTACCCCCAACACTGCTGAGAACATGCTTCTTTCTACACGTTTGATTGGAGTCACAATAGAATTATATGTTTGTTAAACCAAATTTATTTTATTCCGAAACATTATAATGTAGTGCCACAATATATAGAATTTATCCGTCTATATTAAATAATAATTATGTATTATATTTTGTAAAATGTTTATATTAAAGATATTGCGCATGATTAAAATTAGGTGAGTAAAAGATGTGACATTTACCTGTGGTTACCACGATCTACATAGTATCCTACTATGGATTAACAATTGTGAATGTTAATAAGCAAATACAATACTAGAATCAAAGGCTGTTGAGTTCCAACTCGGTTGCACACTCAGACATTTCTATCTATAAAAATGTGGGTTTTACACTTATTCTTACACAGTTGTTAATATAAGTGAATTGGATGACTAACAATTTTCTGTATAAAAAGTGATGACTAAAGTTATGCTTCTCAGCTCTGCAACACTCAATAACTATTGATGACTCTGTAATGGAGGATTTTTAAAGGAAAATGAAGAATCACAGAATAATTTTTATTCTTTTTAGATGTTTGGCCCCATCTGAAAAAACACTGTTAAAAATTTTACTTCCAACTGCGATTCACGAGGCCCAAATTTTTAAATCTTACCTTAAAATGTATTTGGGCTGCATTTAGTATGTGTTTATTTTTATTTTCTGCTGGTTTGTGTATTTAAATTAGTTTTTATTGTAAAGGATGTTACTTTGTACAGTGCTTTGAGAAGCTTCCGTTAAAGGCACTATATGAAATAAAGTTTTATATAGCGTCTCGTTTTCAGTGGAGAGCTGACGACTTCCTGCAACACGAGCAACAATGACCACTGATGTGTTCAGCGACCTGAGAAAGTCTGTAAACACATACATGGATATAATAAAATCATACATGTGAAAAAAAAAAAAACTGTCGGTTTATGCTATGTACAATTAAAATCCAAAGACAACAAATATGTTTTAAAAGTGGATATACAGAAGTTGGAGCTGCTCCAACATGAAAAAGTAAATAGTTCCAAAGCTTGGGTGCAACTTTAGCCCAGACATAATGATGCCTGTTTTGTTTTCATTGAACCTTAGGAAACGTAAGGAGATCCAGAATTTAGACAAGATCAAAAAGGAATTAAATTACAGTCATTTTTTAAAATATTAGATAAATCTGCATGTCATTGGTATAATAATAATAAGAAACACCATGTTTCTAAAGAATAGATCCCATTTGGGAGCATATAAAGGGAAAACAAAAGTGGGCCAAGAATAAACCCTTGGGGGACCCCACAGGTAAGAGGAGCTGAGCTCGATAAAACCTGACCAAGATTGACTGTAAAATATCTAATTGACAAACAGGACTTAAACCAATGAAGAGCCACTCGTTGAATTCTCAAGACATGCGCACACGATTCTGTGATCTACTGTATCAAATGCCACTTTAAGTTCTAACAACACAAGGACTACAGAGTCTCTAGAATCAACAGTTATTAAACTTATTATTTTCTTCCAAACAGTTGCACTTTCAACTCATCAGTCCACAAAACATTCCCCCAGAAGTTTGAGGATTATCAAGGTATGTTTCGGCAAAATTCAGTCGAGCATTAAAGTTCTTCTGGGTTAGGGTTTCACCTCGCCACTATTACATGAATGTCATTTTTGTGTTTCAGTGTCTTTCAGACAGCGGAGTCATGAACAGTGACCTTGACTGATGCAAGAGAGGTCTGCACATTTCCTTCAGTGCCATCCTTGGGTCTTTGTGACTTCCTGGATGAGTCGACGCTATATGCTCTTGGTGGAATTTTGGAAGGTCAACCACTTCTTGGAAGGTTTGACACTGCCAGTTTTTTTTTTTTTCATTTGGGGATAATGGATCTCACTGTGGTTCTTTGTAGTCCAAGTGCCTTTGAAATAGCTTTGTAACCCTTCCCAGAGTGATGTATTTCA